AGGAAAACCCCCCAAGGGGACCCCCCCCCCCCCCCAGGAAGAGAAAAAGGAACAACTAGGAAACACACATACTACATTATCCAAGTCCAATGCAGGAAGTTTGGCTAAAGCCAATAGCAGTTAAATAGTGAGCAAAAGAAAGAAAAAATTGAAACACTGGTAAAAAGTGAAAGGCATGTTCACAAATGCTAGAAGTCTGGGGAACAAAATGGAAGAGCTAGAATTTCTGCTACACGAAGAGGAGTATAACTTTGTGAAACCTGGTTAGATGGCTCGCATCACTGGGCTGCAAATATCGGGGGGTAGACACTATTTTTTGAGGGATAAGGAAGAGGAGAAGGGGTATGTCTGTATATCAGGAATGATCTGGAAGTGAATGTGACATCTCTTGCGAGATTGGGGATAGTGCAGAATCCTAATGGCTGTATTTAAAAGTGAATAAAAAGAAATGGTAAACTACTGGTGGGTATATACTAAAGCTCCCCAAACATACGGTAGGAAGAGGAGATTTAACTATTCTCACAGATAGAAATGGCGGGGAGGCAAGGCAATGTAATAATTATGGGGGACTTTAACTATCCGGATATTGATTGGGCAAATGGAACAGCACAATCAACTAAGGTCCATCAACTCTTGAACCTACTCTAAGACAATTTTATGGGCCAAATGGTAGAAGCCCCAACTAGAAAAAATCTCTGTTGGTTTTCTTCATTTTAACCAACACGGAACTGATTGCAGCTGGAAATTGGGGACAACTTGGAGAACAGTGATAATAGAGTAAATTTCATTTTAAAAAGGCTAATTTTAATAAGCGGTGATACTTACAATATAACACTAAATAGGAGCAGATCTTCCTGGTAATTAACAGTGTGGATAAGTGGGAATGTTTTAGGAAAATTTAAAATGGCATTCGCCAGTGCATTTAATTTACCAATAAATTCAAAGAAACAAAAGTTAATCCAGGGAGGTTAAATTGCAAGGTAAAATTATATATAAATGAGAAGGGAAAAGGCCTTAAAAAATAGACATAAACACGGTAGCAATTCTAAAACCAATAGATTAAATGTATCTCAGTGGCTGATAGAGATCCAAGTGAAAGAGTCTAGAAAAACTAAATGTAAACAAGTCTCCAGGACCAGATGGGTTACATTGACGGGTACTCAAAGAACATAGCCAGGTCATAGCCAGACCACTGTTCCTAATCTATATGGACAGTTTAACGTCAGGAATGGTACCTGCTGATTGGCGGAAAGTGAATGTGGTACCGATATTCAAGTGAGTCTAACATCAAAAGTATGCAAAATAATCTAGGGAATCATAAGGGACAATATTCATAAATTACTAGTTATGTACATGGTATCATGAGTAGCAGCCAACATGGATTCATGAAGAACTGTTCTTGTCAGACCAATCTATTGACATTCTATGAGAAAGTGAGTAGTAATTTAGACAGAGGAAGACCAGTGTACGTAGTATATCTAGACTTTGCTAAAACAATTGATACAGTAACCCACAAGCATTTAATTTACAAATTAAGGTCTTGATGAAATTGTATGTACATGGGAGGAAAACTGGCTACAGGAATGTATCCAGAGGGTAACAATAAATGGCTAATTTTCTAAATGAGCAAAAGTTGTGAGTGGCATGCCCCAGGGTTCAGTCCTTGGACCAATTCTGTTTATCTTATACATAAACAATATAGTGATTGGGATAAATAGCTCAATTTCACTGTTTGCTGATGACACTAAACTATGCAGGGCAGTAAATTCTCAACAAGACATAAAATGACTGCAGCACGACCTAGTTAAAACTGATGCATTTGGAGATGCTTAGCTGGGAAAGTCGGACATGGAGAAAGACCTGGGTGGCCTCATAGACCACAATTTAAGCAATAGCATGAAAAAGAAAGCTGCAGCTACCAAAGCAAACAAGATACTATCCTGCAGGAAAAGATGCATTTTTGCAACGGCTAAAAACATAATTCTACCACTTTATTAATCACTGGTTTGGCCTCACCTTGAGTATGTAGTTCTGTTTTGGTCACCAATTCTCAGAAAGGAGGTGTTTGAACTTGAGACAGTTCAGAGAAGGGCAACAAGA